TTTTCAGTCCAGTACTCAAAATCACTTTCAGTTATGTACTGATGTACAAAACAATGGACATCAGTGCATAACTTAAGGAGCTTCTTTCAAAGAAAAAACTCAGGTAGATGTTATTTTATATATTATGCTTTGTGTGTTGTTCAGTATATTTCTATGCAAAACAAGATGAATTTCAATACACAGCAGCATATTTACAGTTGAAACCAAATATTTACCTACACTTTAGGGAGAAACATAAAAAAAAAAATTTTTACTGTTGAACATCAATTTTAGAGTAAACTTTTTTGTTTTAGATCAATAAATACTGAAATATCTTTTGAATTAGTTAAATGTCAGAATAAAAAGAGAGACCTGTCTATTTTTTATCACTTTCATCAAATTTAGGAGCACATATACACTAAGTTTATTGTTAATTAATAAGAAAACAATTCTATTCTGAGCTGAAGAAGCTTCTGATTGGTTGGTAGAGTCCATGTGAGTAAATTGGTGGCACAGCTGTGGATCCATATAAGACAAAACACAGAGCCTGTTTCTTTGACATGCAAAAGTCAAGAGATATCAACCAAAACACCAGGAAAAGAGTTGTGGACCTCCATAAGTGTGGCTCAATTTTGAATACAATAATACATACAATTTCTCTCTATTTAACAAATATGTTCTTTATATTTATATATGTATTTTATATCTAAAAAAAATAAGCATTTAGTCTGATTTGATGATTAACAATTAAAAAAGTGTTTGTGTTTTTATCTGAAGAGTGTGTAAATATCTGGTTTCAACTGTATATTTGATGATGTTGGTGTTTGGCTTGATTGTCAGCACAAAGAGGGAGAGGGAGGAACAGAGAGCAGGTGAGACAGACTTTGCATTTAAAGAAATATGAAATGAAATATGATTCATTACACGTCTGTTACAGTAAAAAATATACGTTTTTTTACTCAGATTTTATGTTTTTTGTCTGATTTTAGATCAGCTGTGTTAATACAGTATGTCAAAAATGAAAACATGACTGTAAATTGAGACATGTGAGGCTGTTCTGAAAAGGATGATACCAAACAAGGCAAAGTAAATAGTTTTTAAAGGTAAAATGTGGAGGGAAAATCAAAAGTAGTCAAAAATGGCCAATTACACCCTGGACCCCAGAGGGTTAAACATTTTAACAAGTAATGCAATAGTTACTTTTCAAGTAATGAATTACTTTTAGAATATTGTAACTCAGTTACTAACACTGCAGATCAGTAGGTGACCTGCTCTACCTCCTGAGCTACAGCCACCCACTGGCAATGTGGAGTAAACCATCATTAGGTTTTTATAAAGTGTACACTCACAAACCTGTCAAACCTGCATTTAACACGTTGGCTTTTATAGCAGTATAGTATTGCAACATGGCATTTGGGTCTTCTAACTAAAATCGGAAAATAAGAACATAAATAGTGCCATCATTGCCAGACTTGGCCCGCATCTGACATACACTCTGCCATGACACCAGTCAGTCAGAAGTGCCAGCCTGATGGGCCAGACCTGTTTTCTATGAGCCTGGGCCACATAAACCAAACCACAATCGGGCCAGATGTGGCATGCCATCAGGCTTTTTTGAACCATTTATAAATTTTAAAT